GACTTCACACCGCCTCAGCTCATCTACTGCTGAAAAATTCATTCTTTGTTACCTCCAGACTCTACTTATTCCAATGCACCCTGGCTGCTCTCCTGCATTCCATCCTCTGTAGACCTGATGTGAAACAATACACACTATTACACAGAATCCATTGTTAGCCATTAATTGTCCCTATTAGTAGGTATTCATTTTCCCAGGCGAATTGTTATCCACTCCTTTGTCCAACTGTTCTTCTCTCTCTTTGTGCTCTATCTCTATCTATCATTTACTCCTTATCCGCGCCCCCCAATCCTGTCTTCCCCAGTCCTAATGAAGGATCCCGACCCAAAACGCCGACTTCCCTGCTCATCTGATGCTGTGTGACCTGCCGTGTTCCTCCAGCTTCACACTGTATATGACTCTGACTCCAGCATCTGCAGTCCCTGCTATCTCCATTTTTCCAGCTACCATCAGTTCTGAGGAAGGGTCACTGAACCTAAAACAATACCTCTGATTTCTCCGTCCAGATGCTGCCAGACCTGCTGAACTTTTCCAACAAGCTCAGAGTAATTTGATTGACACTCCACCCAAGTGTCTTTTCCATTGTTCTAACAGTGCCTGGGTAAATGGCAGTTTGGGAAGAAGAAGGGAAGTAGCCACATTGTCTTCTCATGGTCACTATCCAGTGTTCCTGCTGGAAACAGATGGTATGTCACAATGTAGTGAGGAAAAAGAAAGGACTTATATCTGATACCCCCACGAGGGAATAGCATACTAGCACTCACTGTGAAAAGTCCCTAACTGAGGAATCAGCTCCTTCAGCAAAGGAGGGCAGGGAATTGGAGGAAATCATGCTTTCTTTTCCTGTTTTACAGAAGGATTGCACCCTACCATACCAGCGAACACAGAGCATAGACACAACAGATAAATTCCGACCATCACCCAAAGAACAACTACACAACTGTGGGAAGACATTCAGTCCCTTCAAAACATTGCTCAATACAGAGAAGGTTGACAGGTTGACAGAAGGTCTTTCACAGTGAAAGTATTGTCTGGTTGGGACAGGGGAGCTTCCATCAAAACCAGCCTTTCTGAATGCTGTGGTTGATTGGTCAGGGTGACATTTGAAGAAGCATGATGGCTCCAAGTGTGGAGAGAATTTCAGGCATTCATTGACCCTCATGAACCACTACCTCATTCCTACAGGTGAGAGGCTGTTCAAGTGTGAGGTATGTCAGGAGGGTTCCACAGACTCATATGCTCCCTGAATGCACAGGGTTCATCTTTTGTCCATCTTGCAATACAAAGGTAGTTTAATGGAAATGGAGCGATTTAAATATGAGGTGTGTGACGGAGGCTTCAAATATCATTGATGCTTGTGAAACACTGGTGCATTCACTCTGGGGAGAAGCTGTTTAAGTGTGAAGTGTGTAAGAACTCCTTCTCACAGTCATCTAATCTCCACACATGCTAGCATGTTCACACTGGGAAGAAACCATTCACCTGCGAAGTATGTGACAAATCGTTCCCACATTCATCTACTCTCCGTCTACACAAACGCACCCACATAGGTGAGAAACCTTTCACACGTAAGGTGTGTGACAAATCATTCCTTAAGTCTTTGACCCTCCATGAACACCAACGCATCCACACTGGGAAGAAATCACTCATATATGAGGGGTGTAACAGATCATTCTCACAGTCATCGGCCCTCAGCATACACAGACACATTCACATTCGACAGAAAGCATTCATGTGTGAAGTGTGCGACAAATCTTTTTCAGATTCATCAACTCTGACCATTCACCAATACGTTCACATTGGGGAGAAACCATTCCCGTGCAAAGTGTGCGACATATTGTTTTTGCAGTCATTGACCCTCTGCTCACAACGATGCACTCACACTGGGGAGAAACCATTCTTGTGCAAAGTGTGGAAGAAATCATTCCCCCTGCTGGTGTCCCTCTGCGCACATCAACGTGTGCACATGAGAGAGAAACTGTTCAAATGCTCTGAGTGTGACAAAGGCTTCACATGTTCCTCAGGCCTCCTGGTCCATCAGAGGACCCACATGGGGGACAAACCTTTTAAGTGTGAGCTATGTGATAAAAGCTTTTGCAAATATCTATAAGTTTGCTGCTCCATGGGAGGATCCACACAGGGGAGAAACTCTTCAGGTGTGAGGTTTGTCAAGTAGTTTTCAGCTAGCCCAGTGATTTCATGAGGCACCAGAGGATTCACACAGGAGACAAACCCTTCAAGTGTGAAATCTGTGGCCAAACCTTCAGGCAGTCTTCAGCACTTGTGCAACACTGACATAATTTTAAGATGATTGGAGGAAGGTATAGAGGAGATGTCAGAGGTACGTTCTTTACACAGGGAATGGTGGGCATGTGGAATGCACTGTCGGCAGTGGTAGTGCAGTCAGATACTTTAGAGACTTCTAAGCAACTCATGGATTGGCACATGGATGATAGTATAATGTAGAGTATGCAGAGTAGTTTGATCTTATTAGGATAATAGGTCAGCACAACATCGTGGGCCTAAGGGCCTGTACTGTGCTGTACTGTTCTATGTTCTGACGCATTCACATAGGGGAGGTGTGCGACAAATCTTTCTCCAGGTCATCAGGTCTTCTCCAGTACAAGAGGTTCCACACAGCAGAGTAATCCTTCAGGTGTGAGGTTTCAGCCAAAGGTATTGGGATGTCTGTGGCCCTCCTGGGAGAGGTTCATCAGATCTAATGCTTGTGTCAAGGATCTCACCCATTTGTTACGGTCCCAGCTGATATTAATTCTGGACAGGTCCCAGAGTGAAGCAGACCCTGCTTTCATTCAAGATGTGAATTATGGACAAATTCTCTTCAGGTAATGGATGTTTGTTGAGTCCCATGGGGACTGTTTGTACTCTCCTGTCTGGAAGGACAACTATCCGGAGTGTGGGGAGGGAGCGGCTTGAGTCTCTACAGACCTGAGTTCCCTCAGGCCATCATACCTCGATGTAACAACAGTCAGATATGTTTACCTTACACTCGTCCAACATTAATTTCATGGTTTGGGAAGAATCTTGCAGAAGAATCTCAAGTCATTTTCAAATGTTTTGTCATTTTGGCTGATTTGAAGTTTGGAGTAAGCTGAACATTGTGTTGTTTCTCTGTTTTATCAATTTTCTGAGCTTTTTAGAGTTTTATAACTCTCAATAAATTCACTGTTTAGCTTTAACCAAGCTACCTGTCTTGTCAGCATGGTGTGTTCCCATTCACTGAAATACTCAGGATACTACAGTAAGCGTCCTGTACATAATATAAAGGCCAAAATCAGGACACAGCTTGAGGGCACTACTCTGCATCAAGTACGGCCAGCCAGGAGATTCTCCTATTATCACACACAATTGGAATATCAGGATGATTTAGTCATTGCTATTCAACTTGCTTGACCACTTTAGCAGACATTGCCCTCAATTCCTAGAGAAATCTAGAGATTCTGCCTTTGACCCACAATACTACTTACTGTGCCACTTCACCTCTGGGTTTCAAAATTGATGGATATTTAATTACCATTTCACAAGCATAAAATTTCCTGAAGAAAAACGATTTGCATTTTTGTATCAACTTTATCAATGCATTTTGAAGTGTGATCACTGTTAAAATGTAGGAACAGGGCCAATCATGTGTGCACAGCAAATTCCCACAAATCTGCAATGTGATAATGATCAGATAGCTATTTTTATGAAGTGGCTCCTGTGATCCATATTCACCAGTAGAATCACACAGAAGACACCCAATAAGAAGCTATTTCTGTTCCTGGGCTTCATCCATTTGAGTAAAAGATCTAAAGCTCTCGGTTTTACACTCTGTAGGCTTCTTTAAGAAGAAAATCAGGACACAGCTTGAGGGCACTACTCTGCATCAAGTACGGCCAACCAGGAGACTCTCCCATTATCACATACAATTGGAATATCAGGAGGATTTAGATATTGCCATTCAACATGCTTGACCACTTTAGGAGAAGTCATTCGAAACTGTGGTCCCTTGACCCGATGCGTAGCAAATCCCATTTCCCAATACCCCTCGTTGATTTACATTGGGCTTCCTCATTCCGTCCCAGTGAAGGGTGATACAGATCTGAATTGCTGTTCCTCGTTTCTCCCTCTTTCCTTTTCTGGGATGGGAGTTGTGCTCCAGCCCTCAACAGCCTTGGGGAATACACGCAGCCCCCGAGGAGAAGCCACGCGCCCTGGTCCTACATTACGTGGGGGCAGAGCCTAAATCTTCCAGATCCTGTGGGGGATTGGGACGCAGTCCCTCCGGGGAACCAATCATGGAGAGGGAGGGGGGTTAAAATTGAATCAGAGATAGTAGGAACTGCAGATGCTGGAGAATCCGAGACAACAAGGTGCAGAGCTGGATGAACACAGCAGGCCAAGCAGCTTCATTTTCTGATGAAGGGTCTAGGCCCGAAACGTCAGCCTCTCTGCTCCTATGATGCTGCTTGGCCTGCTGTGTTCATCCAGCCCTGCACCTTGTTGTCATTGAGAGGGAGGGGAAGGGATTTGACGGGAAGAGGCTGCGATTCCGGTTGCTGCCGCCAGGGGCTGCCATTTACACGGGACACCTCCAATTCCAGCACCACGTCACAGCCGCTCGGGCTCGCGCGCTTAGATTCGAACTCTCGAACGCTGGGCGCCAACAAGACCATTTTTAAAATGACTGAAGATTTTCCCATAACATGAATCTTGGATGAGTGTAACATGAACATGTAACTGAAACATACAACAAGCCTGACTGGTTTTCAATGTAATTGCTAGTACAATATGGATTATTTGGTAACATGTTCGAGAGCAGAATCACATCTAGTGCTGGAAACTGTAATCTAAGTTTTGCAAGCACAGGCTGGTTGAGCGCAGTTAAGCATCTTTACCCCTGCCGAAAGTCAATGGGATGTGTTGTTTGATATCGTCCGTCAGTTGTTGAGATGTATGGCCAATGTATCTGGCATCACAAGAGCATACAGATCTCTTACCGCGACTTTCTTGTGTGTTGTCCTTTTTCGCTTCATAAAAGTATCCTGGTCGTGGAGAAAACCACTCATGGAGAGAGAGTCTAGAACAAGGTGCAGAGCAACAAAATTAGACCGACATGTTCAGGGGTCATGCTGGCAAACACCTCTTCCCAAAAAGGGGGACTGGAAATCTGGAATTCTCTTCCCACAAAAATCTCTTGAGGCTGTTGGGTCATTTCAAAACTGAGATTGATACATTTATTGTTAGGCAAGGGATCAGTCATTGGCAATCGCTTGCTAACGAGTATGATTGTCCACCTAGGAAATGCCCTGTGGGTCCTTTCTGGCTCTATGGATCTTGGCAAGACTGATGAGTCTGATCCTACATGCACATGTCTGCCCATATATTTAACTAGTGGTTCCAGGATGGAGAATTGGTCCTTGGACCTGCAGTCTCCCTAGTTTTTCCTTCAAACTCCACCTTTGCTGTTTGATGAGATCACCTGTTTGACTTGACAGTGATGTTTTTCCAGCACTGGAGAGCTTTCCTCTTCATTTTGATGAGGTCTTAGGTAGTTCTTTTGGACCCACTCCTGGTTTCTCGTGGTCTTGTAGCTGGTGGTAGCCTAACAGTAAGAGATGACAGTTGTCTTCAACGCTTTCCAGCCTTGTTCCACTCCATTAAAATTAACTCTGGAGATTTTGAAGAAAACAATGTTGAAAGTCTGCATGGCTCTTGAAACTGCTCAGCACTCACCTGCACTGCATTGGTTATGACAGCTTTCCTTTGGAGTTGGAATCAAACGATCAAGGAATCTCCAACTTGTATTTTTGATGGAACAGTGGATTGATGATGAATAGCTAGTGTTCTGCACATTAGGTGAGCAGGAGACTCCCATTGGAGTTTGAATTGAATTGAGTGGGGTTGGGGCCTAGGAAATAGGAGAACTCAGATCCTAAAATTACTGAACTCGATGTTGAATTCTGGAGGGCTGCAGAGCCCTCCATGGAAACTGAGGTATTGTTCTTCAGGCTTGTGCTAAGCTTCACTGGAACACTGCAACAAGCCTGAGACAGACTGGGATTTGGGCCAGGGAACAGCCCTCTGGACTCAACATTGAGTTCAATAATTTTACAACCTGAACTCTCCCACATCCTGGTACCAACGCCATACACCAGGCCTTGTTATCACAGAGTCTGCAATTACAGACTACCTGTTGTTAGCCAGTAATAGTCTCCATTAACAGCTATTCACTCTCCCAGCTAGATTGTAATCCACTCCTTTGTTTGTCCAACTGTTCTTCTCTTTCTTTGGGCTCTCTCCCCACTTATCATTTATTCCTTACCCCCTCCCCCCATCCTATCTTCTGCATATAAACCAACATTTTCTGAGCTACCAACAGTTCTGAGGAAGGGTCACTAAACCTGAAATGTTAACTCTGATTTCTCTTCCCAAATGCTGCCACAGACTTGCTGAGCTTTTCCAGCAACTTCTGTTTTTGTTCCTGATTTACTGCATCCACAGTTCTTTTGGTTTTTATTAAGTACACAACAGCAATTGGTCAGTGTCATCCTCTTCAGCCTCCAGGTGAGTTTTCAACCCCATACCTCTCCATCTCATCGATCACCTAGGAAATCACCTAGGAAATTCTAACATTCCCAGCCCCACGTTAGTCCATTTGCTGTAGAAATCCTCATCCATGCTGTTGTTGCTTGTAGACTAGACTACACCATTCAAATGCTCTCCATTTCAGCTCCACATATTCCACTCCGATAAACTTCAGCTTAACCAAAACTTCGCAATCTCTAACCTCACATACACCTATCACCAGTGTTCTCACCGACCTGTACACTTTTCCCAGTCCTTCAGAGTCTCCAATTTAAAATCCCCATGCTAAAGGACAGAATTTGCCATGGCCTCACCCCCTCTCTTTGTCACCTCTGGTCCCTTCTCTCTACAAGTTCTCTGGGCTTCTTCCATTCTGACATTCGTTACATCCACCATTGATGGCTGTGTTACTGTGAACTGGTCAAAGGTTAAATTGATGTACTTGAACCAATTGGTTTGATGGTGGGCGAGGTTTGAGGCAGACACTGCTGAGACATAGAGCACTTTTAAATGACAGGTATCCTGTGTGAACACTCTCAGTGCAACAGAAGTAGGTGACCTGGCTCAAAGACCATGTGGAGATTTCCTCTGTGAGAGAGGAGGAAGAGGTGAAACAATCCTGGCACATTTCATACTGGAAGGGTTTGACACATGTTCACTCATATTTCAGGACAAGTGTATGAATGCTTTGTTACAGAATTCAGACCAATCAAAATTTTCTCACGTTTTGATGGACCAAGAGATATACTGACTATATGAAAGCCTTTTCACACACCACACACTTGAATGGTTTCTCACCAGTGAGGGTCTGCTGTAGCTCAGGTTGGAGGTGTGGGTGAATGCTTTGTCACACAATCAAACCTGAAGAGTTTGTTACTTTCTGAATCCCCTCATGTCCCAGGTGATTTGAAGAAGTTACAAACCTTTTATTGCAAACCTCCCATTTGAAGCGTTCCACACTTTGTGATTCCTCTGTTGGAGCAGAAGATTGAGTGAACAGTGCATCACACACCTCACACATAAACAGTTTCTCTCCTGTGTGAATGCGTTGGTGCCTGTGGCATTGCAAAGAGTTTGGGAATGATTTGTCACATACCTCACACATGAATGGTTTCTCTCCTGCGTGAATTTGTTTGTGTGTGCAGAGGGTTGATGAGTCTGAGAATGATCCGTCACACACCTCATATGTGAATGGTTTCTCTCCTGTGCAAATTTGTTGGTATCTTTGAAGATGTGTTGACTCCAAGAATGTTTTTTCACACACCTTGCACATGAATGATTTCTCCCCTGTGTGAATCCTCTGGTGGACCAAGAGTCTTGATGAGTCTGAAAATGATATGTCACATACCTCACATGTGAATGTTTTCTCCCCTGTGAGAATTCTTTGGTGTCTGTATAGCTTTGATGACTCTGAGAATGTTTTTTCACACATCTCACAGCTGCATAGTTTCGTTGGTGTTTTTGAAGTTTTGATGACCCCGTGAATGACTTCATATTCCTTGCATGTGTGAGGTTTCTCGCCTGTGTGAATGTGTTGATGTCTGCAGAAGTTTGATGAATCTGAGAATGATTTTCACACACCTCACATTGAACATAGAATTGCACAGCACAGGAATTGGCCCTTTGTCCCATGATATTTGCCGAACATGACGCCAAATTAAACTAATTCCTTCTGCCTGCCTTTGATCCATATTTCTCCATTCCTTGCATATTCATGTGCTTATCTAAAAGCCCCTTAAATATCCCTATCATATCTGCCTCTAACACCACCCCTGACAGCACAATCCAGACTCCTATCACTCTCTGTGTCAAAAACTTGTCCCTCATGTCTCCTTTGAACTTTACCCCTCTCACTTTTAATGCATATCCCCTAGTATTAGACATTCCAACTCTGGCAAAAAGTTGACCGTCAACCCTATCTATGCATCTCATAATTTTATAGACTTCTATTGTCTCTCCTCAGCCTCTGCTGCTCCAGAGAAAACAAGCCAAGTTTTTCTAGCCTCTCCTTAAAGCTCATACCCTCTAATCCAGGCAGAATCCTGGTAAACCTCTTCTGCACCCTCTCCAAAGCATCCATATCCTTCCTGTAATGAGGCAGCCAGAACTGAATGCAATACTCCAAGTGTGGCCTAACAAAATCTTATAAAGCAACATGACATCCTGACTCTTGTACTCAATTCCCCTACCAATAAAGGCAAGTATGCTATACGCCTTCTTTACCACCCTATCTACTTGCGTGGCCACTTTCAGGGAGCTATGGACTTGAATCCCAAGATCCCTCTGTACATCAATCCCTGTTTAAGGTCCTGCCAGTAACGTATACTTTTCCTTAACATTTGATCTCCCAAAATGCAGCACCTCACACTTACTCAGATTAAACTCTGACTGTCATTTCTCTGCCGTATATATATCTGCAATTGCTCTATATCCCTCTGTATCCTTTGACAATCTTCTACATTATCCAGAACTCCACTGATCTTTCTATCATCTGCAAACTTACTAACCCACACATCTATGTTTTCATCCAAGTCATTTATATACATTACAAACAGCAGAGGTCCCAGTATGGATCCCTGCAGAACACCAGTAGTCACAGACCTCCAGCCTGAAAAACACCTTTCCACCACTACACTCTGCCTTTTATGGGTAAGCCACTTCTGAATCCAAGCAGCCAAGTCACCGTGGATTCCAGCATCTTAATCTTCTGGATGAGCCTACCATGAGGGACCCTGTTGAAAGCCTTACTAAAATCCACGTAAAGAACATCCACTGTTCTACCCTCATCAATCACCTTTGTCACGTTCTCAAAAAATTCAATCAAGTTAGTAAGACATGACCCACCCTGCACAAAGCCATGCTGACCGTCCCTAATTAGGTCTTGCTTTTCCAAATGTGGGTAAATCCTATCCCTAAGATTTCTCTCCAATAGCTTCCCAACCGCCAATGTGAGACTCACCAGTCTATAGTATCCTGGATTATTCCTATTTCTCTTCTTAAACAGAAGAACAACATTTGCTACTCTCCAGTGGCTAGTAAGGATAAAAGGTCTTGGTCAAAGCCCCAGCAATCTCCTCTCTTGCCTCTCTCAATAACCTGGGATAGATGATATTGGACCCTGGGGACTTATCCACCTTAATATGTTTCAAGAGACCCAATGCCATTTCTTTCTTGATCTCAAAGTGCCCTAGCATATTAGCATGCTCCACACTAATCTCACTAACCTCCATATCCTTCTGGGTGAATACTGATGCAAAGTACTCATTTAGAATCTCACCCACATCCTCTGCCTCCAAGCACAAGTTCCTCCTTTTAGCTTAAGTGGTCCTATATTCTGTCTAGTTATCCTCTTGTTTTTAATGTTTCCATAGAATGTCTTGGGATTCTCTTTAACCCTACTTACCAGGTTATTCTATTCCATGGACCCTTCTTGCTCTCCTAATTTCCTGCTTGACTTCTTCCCTGCTTTCTTTATATTTCTCATGGTCCTGTCCGATTTTAGCTTCCTTAACCTTACATATACACTTGTTTAATTTTGACTAAATTCACAACCTTCCTCTTTACCCAAGGGTCCCTTGCCTTTCTAACCTTGTCCTTCCTCCTTACTGAAACATGTCGGCCCTGCACTCTCCTCAGTAAGTCTTCAAACAATTCCCACATGTCAAATGTGGACTTGCCTGAGAAGAAGCCCTTTTGGACGCACTTTACAAATTCTGCTCCATCTAAGTCTCTTGCTCTGAGGGAGTCCCAGTCAATATTGGGGAAATTAAAGTCACCCACTATGGCAACCCTGTTTTATTGCATTTTTCTATAACCTGCCTAGTATTTGTTCCTCAATCTCTTGGTGGCTGTTCGGCCTTTCGTACAATCCTATCAGAGTGATTGCACCTGTCTAATTTTTGAGCTCTACCCATATTGCCTCAGTGGATGTCCTCTCTGAGCGCAGCTATGACATTCTCCTTGATCAGTAATGCAACTCCTCAACTCCTCTACTACACCCCAGAGTTCTGAAGATGATAGCTGAGGAGATTGTGGAGGCACTTGTGATGATCTTTCAAGAATCACTGGAGTCAGGGAAGGTCCCAGATGACTAGAAAATGGCTAATGTAATATTCCCTGATTCAGAAGGGAGGGAGGCAGAAGACCGGAAACGATAGGCCAGTTAGCCTGACCTCAGTTGTTGCTAAGATTTTGGAAACCATTATAAAGGATGAGATTGCGGAGTACTTGGAAGTGCATAGTAAAGTAATGCCGAGTCAGCAAGGCTTCATTATCGTGAGGACATGCTTGATAAATCTGTTAGAATTCTTTGAGGAGGAGCTGGCCAGAGTTGATTGGAAGGAAAGTCTCGGAGGGAAGACGGTGGAGCAGCAAAAGCAGGAGTTTCTGGGGCACATTCGTGAGGCACAGCAGAAAGTCAACCCAAGGAAGAAGAACAAACTACTGTAACCCAGCAAGCTCCATGAAACCACAACATCTTTTAACACTGTGGAGTCCACAAGTATGCTTTTTTTTTCGAAAATACTGCAGTTTTTCCAATTAATTCGCCAATTAAAATGATTCAAGATGGCAGCAGAGTAGGACGCTCCAGTCAGAGCTCCTTGGAACTCCTCTGCTTGCCAATCCCTTTACCTTTTCTCCCTCTTTTCTTTCTTTCCTCTTGTAGTTCCACCCACCTCCCCACCTGACCCCCGGAGAGTGGAGCTGCAGAGCAAGCGGACTGAGTCCCTCGGAGGGCCAGAGTGAGCAGGCTGAGAACTGTGGTGGACCGCAGCGAACTGGCCAAGTCCTGAGGTGGACCAGAGCGGGCATGGGCCGAGTGCTGTGGCGGATGGAAGAGAGCGTGGGCCGAATCCCGCGGTGGAACCAGCACGGGCAGCAGGGCCTTGTGCTCTGGGCCCTGCAGGTACACTTCATGAGCTCCAGAGCACCGCGAGCAGTGAGCCTGGAGCAGCACGTGGGCTGTGAGCCCGGAGCAGCGCGGGAAAGAAGCCCTGCACGTGGCAATCAGACCCGGAGCAGCGCACAGGCAGCGAGTCCTGGACGGAGAACGGTATGAGGAGACAATCCTTAACTTAGAACTCTGTAATGTTAACTCCTTAATATTTTCCTATTTTTAACTTATTTTCAACTCTGTAAGTAGGCAACTACTTTTATTCCTCTGCTGTATTCAAGAATTGTACATGGGTACTTGTACCGAAGACGTTGCCATAAGAAGGCAGACATTGTCAAGGCTTTTCACTACACTCCCACACGGGACAATAAAGGATGTTGTATATTGTATATTGGTCAACAAAACTCAGCCTGGAAATCAGAAGGGAAATGCTTCCAATAAACACACACAATATCCAACACACAGCTCCAGTCAAACAGTTCAGTACAAAGCATTGAGTAAACAGCTCTCTCAGTTGGATCTTCTCACACAGCATAAGGGACATTTCCACCCCTGATTGCCCACAGGATAGTCAGACTGCCTGAAGGTTGGTGTGGATATTATGGGATACAATTTGTATAAAAGCTGCTCCTTCACTCACCATCTCCTCACTTGGTTTTCAATCCCTATAGGAAGTGAACCAGCTCTGGAAGAGGAAGAGGAGAGAATGGGCAGAGTGGGTGGGCTCTCTGATTGACATCTCTCACAGTCAAATATTTCTGCAGCAACATGAGCTTCCTGAACCTTTGGAAACTGACCAGAGAAATGGATGTGACTTTGAGCATCAGATCAGGTGGAGATTTAAACTTGTCATTGTCACATCTGAGTAAAATCTCACTTATTGCAGCTGCTGTCTCAGTTGCCCTGGTAAACATCTCACAGAGATTTCCAGTTTAGGAATAGCATTTTTCATCCTCGAGGCTTTCAAACTAACATCACCAGCACAACTAATAGGGTCCCGACCTGAAACATTAACTTTCCTGCTCCTGTGATGCTGCCTGGCCTGCTGTGTTCCTCCCGCTCTACAATGTGTTTACTCTGCTTCTTCTCTGCTCTTCCAGAGCTGCTTCATTTTGTATCGGAACTTGAGACCAAGTGAGGAGATGGTGAATGAAAGAGCAGCTTCTTTCCTTAGAGAGGGATCAGAAGGGGCCCTGTTTGAGAACTCATCTGAGATCACCTTTTGTGCTGGACTACGCCGTGAGTGTGTCTGATTCTATGAAGGGTTCTTCATTATGATATCTGGCTTTCATTGTCATTTCCCCAGATTGGTCAGCAACAGGCACACGATGCACAGGAGAGTGCAAGTTCACTCATATGAAAGACCAGTGACACCCTGCCTTACTTCAACTGGGGCTTAGATCCTCATCCATAACTTTGTAGGCTCTGGACTCAATTGTTCCGATGCTCTCCTGGCTGCTGTCATATCTTGCACTGTGAATCTAAACTCATCCAAAACTGTACTGTCCGGGTCCTAACTGACACTAGACCTGTTTACCAAACAGCCCTGCACTTGCTGATCTCTGGCTCCTGGTCAAGCAGCACCTCAGTTTTAAAATTCTCCTTTCTTTTCAAATTCCTCTATCACCTTGTCCCTCTCTATCTGTGTAATCACCGAAGCAATTGAGCTGTCATGCCTAGTGCATACATTGAAATGTCTTTTCACAACATCTTAATCTGAAGGCCTTTCCCAAAAGTATTTAATAGAGATGTAACCAGACAAAAATTGACATGGAGAGAGAGAAGTGAATATTACGCAGGGATAATCAAATCAGTGGATTTGGTGAGCCTGATATCAGTGTTGATCAAGTTGTTGGAGAGGATTCTGAAGGACAGGATTTACATGTATTTGGAGAGGCAAGGACTGATTAGGGATAAAAACCAAAAGAACTGCGGATGCAGTAAATCAGGAACAAAAACAAAGTTGCTGGAAAAGCTCAGCAGGTCTGGCAGCATCTGTGGAGGAGAAAGCAGAGTTAACGTTTCGGGTCCGGTGACCCTTCCTCAGAATTGATGGTGGCTGGGAAAACGTCAGTTTATATGCAGAAAATAGGGAGGTGGGTGGGGTAGGAGTAAATGGTATTATAGAGCCCAAAGAGAGAGAAAGACAGTTGGACAGACAAAGGATTTGCTAGCGATCAGGCTGGGAGGATGAATAGTTGTTAATGGGGACTGTTAGTGACTAACAACAGGTGGTGTGTAATGGCAGGCTATGTGGTAACAAGGCCTGGTGTGTGGGGTGGGGGGCTGGGACATGGGAGAGTTTAGGCCCTAAAATTATTGAACTCAATATTGAGTCCGGAGGGCTGTAGGGTCCCCAAGCGGAAAATAAGGTATTGTTCCTCCAGCTTGCGCTGGGCTTCACTGGAACACTGTAGCAAGCTGGAGACAGAGATGTTGGCCAGGGAACAGGGTGGTGCATTAAAGTGGCAGGCTACAGATAGTTCAGGGTCTTTTTTGCGAACAGAATGTAGATGTTCTGCGAAGCGGTCGCCAAGTCTACACTTCATTTGCGGGAGGGAAGAGAAGGGGAAAGGGCAGAAGTGCAGGAGATGGGTCGGACCCGATTGAGGGCCCTGTCGACAGTGGAGCTGGGGAATCCTCGGTTGAGGAAGAATGTGGACATTTCGGAGGCTCCCTTGTCGAAGTTGAAGGTGAAGCAACACTTCACCTGCACTTCCAAGAATCTAGTCTACTGCATTTGCTGCTCACAATGTGGTCTCCTGTACACTGGGGAAACGAAGCGTAGACTTGGCGACCGCTTCGCAGAACATCTACGTTCTGCTCGCAAAAAAGACCCTGAACTACCTGTTGCCTGCCACTTCAATGCACCACCTTGCTCCCTGGCCAATATCTCTGTCTCCAGCTTGCTACAGTGTTCCAGTGAAGCCCAGCGCAAGCTGGAGGAACAATACCTCATTTTCCGCTTGAGGACCCTACAGCCCTCCGGACTCAATATTGAGTTCAATAATTTTAGGGCCTAAAATCTCCCATGTCCCAGCCCCTCACCCCACACACCAGGCCTTGATACCACATAGCCTGCCATTACACACCCCCTGTTGTTAGTCACTAACAGTCCCCATTAACAACTATTCACCCTCCCAGCCTGATCGTTATCAACTCCTTTGTCTGTCCAACGGTCTTTCTCTCTCTTCGGGCTCTATCCTATCGTTTACTCCCTATCCCACCCACCTCCCTATTTTCTGCATATAAACTGCCGTTTTCCCAGCCACCGTCAGTTCTGAGGAAGGGTCACCGGACCCGACTGATTAGGGATACTCAACAATGGCTTTGTGCGTGGGAAGGTGTGTCTCACTAATGATCAAGTTTTTTGAGGACATGACGAAAAGCATTGATGAAGGCAGAGCAGTGTATGTGGTTATCTTCAGAAAGGCATTTGACAGGGTTCTGCATGTTCGACTGGTTAGCAAGGTTAGATCACATGGAATACAGGGAGAACTAGCCATTTGGATACATAACTGGCTCAAAGGTAGGAGAGAGAGGGTGGTGGTGGAGGCTTGCTTTTCGGTCTGATGCCTGTGACCAGCAACGTGCCACAAGCTTGATGCTGGATTCACTTTTTTTTATCATTTATATTAATGATTTGAATGTGAATAAAGGAGGTATGATTAATAAGTTTGCCGATGAAACCAGACTTGCTGATGTAGTGGACAGCCAAGAAGGTTATCTCAGAGTATAATGGGACCTTGATCAGATGGACTGATGGGCTGAGGAGCGGCAGATGGAGTTTAATTTAGATGAATGTGAGGTGCTGCATTTTGGTAAGGCAAATCAGGGCAAGACTTATGCATTTAATGATAAGTTCCTGGGGAGTATTATTGAACAAAGAGACCTTGGTTGCAGGTTCATTGTTCTTTGAAAGTAGAGTCGCAGGTAGACAGGGTAGTGAAAAAGGCGGTTGGTACGCATGCCTTTATTGGTCAGTGCATTGAGTATAGGAGTTAGGAGATCATGTTGTAGCTGTACAGGACATTCGTGACACCACTTTTGGAATACTGCGTTCAAGTCTGGTCTCACTGCTACAGGAAGGATGTTGTTAAACTTGAAAAGAGTCAGAAAAGATTTACAAAGATGTTGCCAGGGTTGAAGGGTTTGAACTATAGGGAGAGGCTGGGGCTATTTTCCCTGGAACATTGGAGGTTGAGGGTTGACCTTGTAGAAATTTATAAAATCATGAGGGGCATGGATAGGGTGAACAGCCACAGTCTTTCCCCCAGCGTAGGGAAGTCCAAAACTAGAAGGCATATGTTTAAGGTGAGAGGAAAAAGATTTAAAAGGGACCTAAGGAGTAATTTTTTCACGTAGAGGGTGGTGCGTGTATGGAATGAGCTGCCAGAGGAAGTAGTAGAGGTGGGTGCAATTACAACATTTAAAAAGCATCTAGATGGGCACATAATTAGAAATGGTTTAAAGGGACATGGGCCAAATGCTGACAAATGGACCTAGATTACTTTAGAATACCTGGACAGCATTGACGAGTTGAACTGAAGGGTCTGTTTCTATGCTGTACATCTCAATGACTCTATGATTCTATAAAAGTACAACTTAAAGTTTTGGCAAAGATCTGTAGCTTGGGTTGTGGGTGAAGTTGTTGACTTGCTCGCCAAGCTGGCTTGTTCTCATTCAGGCGTTTTGTCACCACGCCAGGTGACATCATCAGTAGAGGCTCCACTGATGATGTCACCTAGCAAGGTGACGAAACGTCTGCACGAGAACAAGCCAGCTCAGCGAGCAAGTCAACAACCTCACAAAGGTACAATTCTAAAAGGATACAGGAACAGAGGGCCCTCAATGTAACTGCAAAATTACTGAAGGTGGCAGGACAGGTTGAGAGAGTAGTTAGTGACCAGATAGCTCAGGGCCTGAACTGCTAGGCCCGAAACCAGCATTTGCAATTGTTGAGCAGCCTGCAGAAAAAGTAAAGAGTGGTTCCTATGTTGTGGTTCCCTGAGGAGACTGTCAGTCATTTCACAGAATGCTTCATTGCCAGAACTTTCCAACAAGCACCAAGACGTAGCTTGGCTGCTGATGAGAAGGGCACTATCTGTGAAATCCTTCATGTATACCTGGACTCACTGCACCATGGCACACTGCCCTCAAAGCGGCTGTGGGGGTAGGCGGGTTGGGTTGGAGAGTGGCTTGTATCTTGTTCTTGAACATATCATTGCAAAGGTGTTGAGACAGATGCTGTGGTTTTTGTTGAGGTTTGTCCTGAGCAGCTCTGTGATGCACGACTCAGTGCTCTACAGGCTGTTCCCCAGCATAAACATTGACTGTGCTTAAAAGACCACCAACCCAGTGAAAGATGTTCTTTGTTCTGCCCGAAACATGTTGGTCTTCCAAAACTAGGAGTTGACCTCAAACGAGTGTTGCAGACTGGCACGTTCCAAGATCCAGAACAACGTGCTGAGAGACATACTAAAGCTTGGGGCAGCTGCCACCAAGGCACAGTGGGCAAAGACTACCATCTAAGGCCTTTCTGCCAATGTACAATGGCAGTCTATTCAGTTGTCAGACCATCTCATTGTCTTAAATATGTGTAAATAGTATTCTGCATAAGTAAGTAATGTCTTTGACTTTTGCTACTGCCGGGAATATCAGATCCACAATTTTCTTTCTTGATATGCAAAGACTAAGAAAACTGCCCTTGTACCTGTGTAAGATTTGTGTAAAATATATTAAAACGTTGATCCAAGAACATTTCGATTGGCTGTGAGAGACGTCAATCAGAGAGCCCACCCACGCTGCGCATTCCCTCCTCTTCCTCTTCCAGAGCTGGTTCCCTTCCTATAGGGACTGAAAACCAAGTGAGGAGATGGTGAGTGAAGGAGCAGCTTTTATACAAATTGTGTCCCATAATATCCACACCAATCTTCAGGCAGTCTGACTATCCTGTGGGCAATCGGGGTGGAAATGTCCATTATGCTGTGTGAGAAGATCCAGCTGAGAGAGCTGTTTACTCGGTACTTTGTGCTGAACTGTTTGACTGGAGCTGTGTGTTGGATATTGAATGTGTTTATTGGAAGCATTTCCCTCTGATTTCCAGGCTGAGTTTTGTTGATGGCTCATTCCTGAATATGAGAAGGTGACGTGTAATTATCTGGGAGGTGCAGAGTGTATGAGGATTTGTACTGATTTCCAGTTGTTGAATTCTATGTGCGCGTTCGGAGCTGTTATTATCCTGCCGACTGTTTATTGTCTCTGGGGAAATTTCCTAGAACTTCCTTCCTAGCTGCATTTAGAGTGTAACATCGTATGACTATTCTGTATGTGTGTGGCATCTGGATGGTTCTGTTTTTTCAAATCCCTGTCAGTCTTCCCACCACCAAATCTCTGCCACCTCATCAGAAAAGAAAAGAAGAAAGATGTGTGTTTATAGGGAGCCATTCACAAACATCATATTGTTCCAAAGCTCCTTGCAGCCAATTTTTTTTTGTTCGTTCATAGAATGTGGGTTTTACTGGCTGGGCTATCATTTGTTGCCCATCCTTAAATTGCCCAGAGGGCAGTTAAGAGCCAACCACTGTAGGAGTTACTCTGGAGTTACATGCAGGCAGATATCATTCCCTGAAGAACATTAATCAACCAGATGGGGTTTTCCTGACAATCATCACAAACTAAATTGTTTTGAAATGTGCTCACTGTTGTAATGTAGGAAATGTGGCAGCCATTGTGTGCACAGCCAGTTCCTGCAATCAGCAACGTGATGGAGACAGGACAATCTGTTGTTTTGTGGAGTAATGTTGGCCAGGACTCCAGGAATAACTCCCCTCTGATTCTTCAGAATAGTGCCATTGAGATATTTTACAGAGAGAGCAGAAGGGGCTTTGATGGAGCTCTCATCTGAAAGACGGCTCTTCTGACTGCGTGGCTCTGCCTCTGCCTCTTTTGTCTTGTGCTGGACTATTCTGTGATAGAATCAGATACTATGAAGCATTCTCCATGACTATACCTGGTTCTCACTGCTGTTTCCCAGTGTTGGTCAGGAGCAGGGATCGTGCACAGGAAAAGGTGAAAAATCCACTCACAACAGAGGTCAGTGATACCCTGTTTCAGCGCATCTGCTGAAACTCTCACCCAGATCTTTGCAGGCTCAAGACTCAACTATTCCAATGCTCTCCTGGTTGCTCTCATATCTTGCTCTGTAAACCTGAGTTCCTCCAAAACTCTGCTGCACAGGTCTTAACTGACACCAAGGCCTGTTCCCCAATTATCCCTGTGCCTGATGATCTATGCTGGCCCTTTGTGAAGCAGCACATCAATTTTAAAATTATCCTCAATGTTTTCAAATACCTCCATATCTCTCTAATTTACATTGCCACTCAGCTGGCATATCTAGAAATACATTAATTGAAATGTTGTTGAATATATTTAAAGATTTTACCTGAAAGTTTCAGATATTCCCAAAGCCTGAGTTTGGATTTAATAGTTTTGCCAGTGCTGTGGCTGATAGACTGCACACACCAAATTCAGCTAAAAGATTGCAGTGTGTCTTTCAATCAGTTACACTGAAGCAATATTTTCCTCAGCTTCTAGCACTTCCTGCCCAGTGTGTTCACTTCAAGTAATGTTGGGAAACAAGGGGGGAAATTTCTAATTTCTGCATTAGACTAGCCTTCTCCTGTCTTTTATATTAAACATACACTGTAAAGGTGTAATTAGTTTTTGCCTGTATGACACAAATCATAGCGAATTGAGAGCCCGTTTTACACTCTGTCCAACTGCCTTTTCCATTGTCCTCATGACATCTAGGAAGATGCGAGCTGGGCTGAGGAAATAATTTAGCCACATTATCTGCTGTGGTCACTATCCAGTGGCAGGTCCTTCAGCAAAGGAGGAGAGGGAGTTGAAGGAAATCATGTTTCCTTTTCCTGTTTTACAGAAGGATCGCAACGTAGTACACCAGAGAATACAGACAGGATAGAAGCTACAGATAGATGCTGACCATCATCCAAGGAACAACTGCACACCTGTGGGAAGACACCCAGTCCTTTCACAGCATTGCCCAACACAGAAAAGGCTGGGCAATGAAACCATCATCTGGAAATCAGTTGGGACAGGGGGACTTTGATGCATCATCAGATCTGAAACTAGTCAGTGGTGTGAGTCATTGAGTCTTCCATCAGAACCAACCTTTCTGAAGGTTCAGCTATGGGTAATCAGTCAGGGTGAGGCCAGGAAGAAATGTGAGTGGGCTCCAAGTGTGGTGAAAGCTTAAATCATTCATCGAGCCTCATGAATCACTGACTCATTCCCACAGGTGAGAGGCTGTTCAAGTGTGAGGTATGTAAGGAGGATTCTACAGGCTCATCAGATCTCCAAACAGACAAGCTGCATCATACAAGGACAGCAACATGGAAGGGAAACCATTTAAGTGTGAGGTGTGTGACAAATCGTTCTCACATTCGTCTTACTTTCGTATACATCAACGCATTCACACAGGGGAGAAACCATTTGAGTGTGGGGAGTGCAAAAAATCATTTGTTCAGTCATCATATCTCCGCAGACACCAACGCATTCACACTGGGGAGAAGCCATTTACGTGTGAGGTGTGTAACAGAGGATTCACAGAACTATCGAGCCTCGTGAATCACCGACGTATTCACACAGGAGAGAAACCATTCATGTGTGAGGTGTGTGACAAATCATTCTCAAGGTTATCAAATCTTCTTGCACACCAGCGCATTCATACAGGGGAGAAACCGTTCAAGTGTGAGGTGTGTAACAGAGGATTCACAGAACTATCAAGCCTCATGAATCACCGACGTATTCACACGGGAGAGAAGCCATTCACTTGCGAGGTGTGTGATAAATCATTCTCGACATCATCAAACTTCCTTGCACACCAACGAACTCATACAGGGGAGAAACCATTCAAGTGTGAGATTTGTGATCAAGCTTTTGTGAAGGCTTCGAATCTTCTGATTCACCAGAGGATTCACACAGGGGAGAGACCTTTCAAGTGCGAGGTTTGTAACCAATCCTTTTTGAAGTCTGGGAACCTTCGTGTCCACCAACGCATGCACACCGGGGAAAGACCATTCAAGTGTAAGGTGTGTAACAGAGACTTTGCACAGTCATCAGCTCTTGTGGGTCACTACCGCCTTCACACAGGTGAGAAACCATTCAAATGTGAGGTGTGTGACAGATCGTTTGCAAGATCATCAACACTCCGCACCCACCAACGCATTCACACTGGGGAAAAACCGTTTATGTGTGAAGTATGTGACAAATCCTTCTCGAGGTCCTCACAGCTTCTGCTACATCAGAGGATTCACACGGGAGAGAAACCCTTTAAATGTGAGGTGTGTGACAAGGCTTTCACACTGGCATCGACACTCGGGAATCACCAGCACAGTCACATTGGAGAGAAGCCATTGAGGTGTGATGTGTGAGAGAAATCTTTCTTCAAGACGTCAGACCTGTATGTACACCAGTGCATTCACACAGACGAGAAACCATTCAGGTGTAGTATCTGTGACAAGGCTTTCACCTACTCCTCTGATCTCCCAAATCACCAGCGGATCCATGTAGGGGGATAAATCATTCAAATATGAAGCACATGACAAGTCATTCTATCACTCACTAACAGTCCGCAGACACCAGCGTATTCACACAGGGGAGTAGATGATCATATCCTAGTGTTCTGCGAATCCTCCTTTCGGGGAGGCAATGGCCTAGTGGAATTATTGCTGGACAGTTAATCCAGAAATCTAGCTAATGTTCTGGGGAGCTGTATTTGAAACCCACCATGGCAGATGGTGGAATTTGAATTAAAACAAAATCTGGAATTAAGAGCCTAACAATGACTACAAATTCAGTGTTAATTGTTTGGCAAACCTATTTGGTTCACTAAAGTCCTTTGGAGAAGGAAATTGCCATCTTTACTGGGTCTGGCCAACATGTGACTCTTACCTGCCCTTTAGGCAATTAGGGATGGACAATAGATATTGGCCTAGCTAGCGACACCCTCATCCCGTGAATAAATAAAAAAAATTTTAAAATGGTCATTGCTCCAGAGGATCCACGCAGGGCAGTTATCTTCTGGTCTGAGATTTGTGCTAAAGCATTTGGAACATCTTTGACCCATCTGGGACACACAGGGTGAAACACATCAACTGTGATCTTTGTGATAAGATTTTCACCCAGTCTTCTAGTCACCTGAAGCATCAGTGGATCCAGATTCTGGAGTGAAACCATTCAGGTGTGAGGTGTGTGACAAGACTTTCACAAAGTCAGCGTATCTCATGGTCTATCAATGTACTCACACAGGGTAGAACCCTTATTGGTCTAAGTTCTGTAAAAACCTTCACATTGTTGCCAGACCCCCTAGAATATCAATGAGACAAACCCTTCCAGTGAGACGTGTGTCAGGATTATTTTACCTTTTCCTGTCTCACCGTACACTGACATCTCCATATGGAATTGGAGCCAGGACACCTGATTCCATTGCACTGAGAGTTGTCTGTGTGGTTTACCTTCCAATGATGTTCCAAATCACTGTCTGTCTTAGCAGCATCTGTCTCAAACCTCTCCCAAAATCATTCCAAACGTTTGAAGAAGACCAAATGTTTAGAAGCTCCCATACAAACTCAGCTTCTTTTCAATGCAGCATTAGGTACAAGTCACTCACTGACTCTCACTCTGACCAAGAAGACAATCAGTGACTCAGTGGTCACAAAGGCTTCAGCTTCTGATCAACCAGCATAAGGACCTGGGGAGGAGCCGTTCCTGGGGTAGTGATTGAGGTACCTCGATTAGCCTCAGTGTCTCTAGTCTAAGGGGGAGGAGAATCAGCCAGGGATCCTATTCCTCATCAATGAGCCCAGCTGGGAAGTCAGGGGGAGGGCAGGATGTGTCTCGGCTGTGACAGTCTCCTTTGTCTCACAACATTCACTGGCTGGCTCTCCACATGCTGAATGGCCACTCGGAACAGAGCACTAGAGGCCAATCAATATCCACTGTCTATCCTACAGGTCTGTACTTTGAGGATTGGAGGGAATATGAGAGGACAACAGTTGCATTTGTGTAGCGCGATTATAGAGTAAAACACGTCAAAGTATTTTATAGAGACGTAATGAGACAAAAATTAACACTGAGACTGAGAAGGTAATATTAAGAGGAGATTACAAAACTGTGGCTGAAGAAGTGGGATTTAAGGATCTTCCTGAATAAGGAGACAGAGATGAAGATGCAGAAAGGGTTAAGAAAACAGCTTTAAAGCATGGATATTGGATGTCGTTGTTAATGTTAAGGCTTGGAGGAGTGCAGAGACCTTGGAGGGAGATTGGGCTGAAGGTGACAATGATTGGGAAGGGTGAGGCCAAGGATTAATTTGTACTTGAACATGAGAATTTTAAATTAGAGGCACTGGGGGACTGGGAACAAGTGTCGGCCAGTGAGCACAGAGATGATAGGTGTGAGAGTTAGGACAGAGAGCAGAGAGTTTGAGCTGAGCTGAGCGTTATGGAGAGTGGAAGATGGGAAGCTGATAGTATTGAAATGAGGAACAAAAACAGAAATTGCTGGAAAAGCTCAGCAGTTCTGGCAGCATCTGTGAGGAAGAAATCAGAGTATTGAAATGGTCTAATTGAGAAGCAGCAACAGCCTGGATGAGGGTTTCAACAGGAGATAGGGAGTAGTGTGGTGTTGGAAATGGGTAATGTCACAGAGAAAGTAGGTGATCTTTGTAATGAAGAGAGTGTGGTGCCAGTAACTCAGCTGGCAGTTGAAGAAACCAGCACTGACCAATTGTTATTGGAACTGAGGGTGGAGAGAATAATCGAGAAGAATTTAAGGAATATAGAACTGGATTAATCCCTTGAGCCTGTTACACCATTCAATTAAAGCATTTACTCTATCTACCTGCCTTGACTCTGTAAACCTTGACCCCCTTTTTTAAGAATAAGGCTGCATTTGCTGACATCAACATATATACTTTAAACACTGTGTGTGCATAAAACTGGAGGGAGGTTGGGTTTCCGGGAGGGGAGAGATTGAGACCCGGGAGAAGAGGGAGATTTGGACGGAGAAGCGCCGGCCATTTAGGGCCCCCCTCCCCAACACTGGTCAGATCTTTTTCTCCTCCCCTCCAACCTTGAGTATGTTCTGCCCTCTGGCTCTTCCCATTCCAACTCCTCTAGCTCTCTCTGCTATCCCAGTGTCAACTCCTTCCACACCCAGCTTCTTGTGTCCCTATTTCCCACCTTTCTCTGTCCTCAGATCTGCCCTACTTCCTGATCTGCCCTCCCCTGCTTCCAATCCATCCACCCCCCCCAGCACCGCAATTTCCACTCTCCAGGGTCCTGATCAATTGTCCTGCCATACTGTAGGTAAAGGTGAGATATGGGGATACAGATAGGTTGGGGGCTGAGCGATGATGGGGTCCTGGGAAGACAGTTGGCATGGAGACCCTGGAGAGAACTGGAGGAATGGTATGGTGGTGGTTGGGCAGGAAGAAATCTGGGGTGGAAAGAGGTTGGGGGGGTGTGGGTGGAGAATGTGAGAAGCGCCTTTGATTTCCCTCAGCCCACCGGTCCGCTCTGGAACCGTGTGCACATGCGTTTTCAAAGTCTGCAATGCAGTGTCAGTAAACATTGCCTGACAATAAACTGAATAATTTCAGTTTTGAAACTTCCAATTGTCTCCCAGCCTCCACTAATTTTTGTGGTCAGAGAGTTCCAGATCTCTAGTCCCATTTTAAGACCATAAGAAATAGAAACAGGAGCTGCCTGATTGGCCTTTCAGTCGGATCATGGGTATTCTGACATCCACTTTCCTACCCTTTCCCTGTAACTCTTGATAAGGAATCTATGTATTTCAGCCTTAAATATATACAAGGACTCTGCCCCTGCAGCTCTCAGTGATAAAGACTTCCAAAGATTCACAACATACTAAGAGTCTTAAACTGACACCCCTGTCTTCTGACAATCTGCCCTCTGCTCCTAGGCATGCCCGTTAAGGGAGACATCCTCTCGACATCTTTCCTGTCAACTCCCATAAGAATCAATGTGCTTCAGTAAGATCACCTGTTATTCTTCTAAACTCCAGTGGGTCCCAACCTGTTCAGCCTTTTTGTGAAGAAGTATTTACTGACATCATCCCTGAACAACCTAGCTCTAATTTCAATGTTCCAACCCTTTTTTTAGATTCCACCCCCCCCCCACCCCCAAACAGAGGAATACTTCTGTCAGTGGTATTCTGAGAGATTTTCCCTGATGTGACAGTGAGTGTGTGTGTTTTCGTCACATGAGCCAGCTGTCTTGAACAGGTCTGGGGTAGAATCAGACCTTGAAGAGGCTCTTGTGTTGCAGTGATAATGTCCCTATCTCTGAGCCAGGAAACTGGCATTTAAGTAATAGCATCTCTGAACAGATTGATTTGAAAATCTGTTTCAGGGAATGTTTGTACTGTGTTGTCTGGGAGGATGGCTATCCTCTTGTGAGGGAGTGGGAGTGAATCTTTATAGATCTGAGTTCTGCCTTATACTTTTTCCAAGATTCGTTACATGTTGACAGGTTGGAAAAGAGCTTGAGTTATTGTTTTGTTATTTTGGTGTAAGCTGAACAATGTGATTGTTGCTTGTGTTCTTTCAATCTTCTGCATTGGTTTATTGTAAATCTCATTTAAAAAGAAACTACCTGATCTGCAACCTGGAATGTTCCTATTCACTGAAACATTCAGGATCCTACAGTAAGTGTCCTTAGACGATTTATTGGTCAATGTCACTGTGGACTGAGACATTTTCTTCATCAATGGGTTTATAACTTCTAGTTCACAGCATCATGTTTGCTCAAGATACAAAGACTTCCATTTAAATATCAACTTTCATAAATTCAAGATGTCTGCAAGCACTCTCCAGGCAATAAAATACTTTCAATAGTGTCTTGCAGGAATATAGGAAATGTGTCAGCCAGTGTGTGCATAGTAAGATCCCCATTTCAGCAACGTGATAATGACCAGATAATCTAATTTTGTGAATGACTGCGGAATGTATATTCACTAAGATATTAAGGATTACTCTGCTACTTTGCTTCAATAGCATCATGGGATCTTTTACATTCACCACAGCGTGAATGGAGATTTGGATTCTGAAAGATGGTACCCCACATAGTGGAACATTCCTTCAAGTGTGAGCCTCAGCGTTCAGGTCACTGGAGTGAGGCTTGAAGCCACAACACAAGTCAGAAACGAGATTGATTAGTGAGCCACGTCCAACAATACTTACAATATTCCAAAGGAACATAGAAAATAGTAGCAGGAACAGGCCCTTCAACTCAAAGTGTGCATTTTAAACAGATGATGACAAATCAGCTACCTCTATACCTCTCTCCATTCCCACTATACCCACATGCCTTGATGTCGTTTGTATCTGAAGACTATTGATGTCCAGTCTTAGTGATTTCAGTTGTATTCATTTCAGTTTCCTAAGGGTTCAGTCCCAACTCTGTGTACAGGATCCCTTCCTCCTATATTTGATTCAAAATGGTAACTAGTTAGAGCTGCAGGTGTCAGGTTGTCTTTATGTCTGGGTTCCTGAAGCTGTGAAAAGTGGTAAAGTCTCTGGGCTTAGCTGGAGCAGATGTCTTAAGGGATTGTCTTCAATCAATATTGCTGATGGACAATTCTGCTTTTATTCACTCAGGAAAGTCCTGTTGTTTCTGCAGAGTTCTAACAATATGTCATAATGAAACATGAGGAATAACTCACTCTTCCCAAGTGGTAGTTTGAGTGAGGTTTTTGAATCCCTCCATGACCTTGCCGTTCCCTATAATCTCTTCCAACCCTCAATATTGCACTGAATTGTCAGACAGGAATTTCTGTGATCATGTCCTGACGTAGGACTTGAACCCAGAACCCTCTGACTTAGAGAACAAGGATTAAACGTTGTTGCCAGGGCCATATAAGTAATTCCTTGGGTCTTAAGCTCCTATATAAATATTCCCCAGCACCATTTATTGTAAAATGTGTAAAAAAATTAACTAATCGTTGTTTACACACTGCATTGATGATGAACTCAAATCAAATCAAAATGCATCATCTGAATCAAAACTGTTTCAATTAGTCACATGATTTTTTTTTCAATGTTTGCTTCAGTAAAACTGCTTGAAGAGTAAAAGGAACAACCACAAGCACAGGTTCTGGCTCAGTGCTTACCTGTTCTTGTGTCGGTTTTAGCAACATAATCTGACAATTTGATCAAGAATTTAGATGTCAATTACATCAAGCATAAATTGAACTTCTGTAATCTTTAACACTGGTTTATTAAGCATCAGCCAGGACGCTGGTACGAACCAAAGAAATGGTCACAACCCCAGATAAGAATAATGAGAGTGATGAGTTTCTGCTGATTGCACTTATTTCAGTTCGCCGTTCAAAATTAAATCAGGATTTTTCAGTGTTCAGGCATTAAACGTCAGTCATATTCATGACCCCAGTCTACTTAATGTGGCCAACAATTATTTCAGCAAACTACAAGTCCACAGTTAACAATTTGTTTCAATTGTGTTGTTATGACCAGATCAAGCTGCCTCAAAATATATTAAGAAGATAGTCTAGACCCAAATCTTTACTTATTTTAAAGGCAAATGCCAGGCTTTGTGTTGTGGATGCAATTTGATTGGTCAGACTAGCAGATTTGAAGCAAAACACACTTTATTCATACACTTCCGTTAAAATACAACAAAAAAAAGAAATTGGAATAACTTAACTCTATTGGAAAACGTAACAGAATAATAGATTATTAACTATTCCTACTACTAATTAACTGTTCCAATATAGTAACATCCCATAAACACACCCTTGGCAAAGGAAAACTCAGAACAATAGATTGTCATACATGTAATTCTAGCAGCAGGTAGAGAACCCCAGCTTTTAGCTGTAACCAAGAGAGGAAGACACAACTTCCACATCCAGCTTCAAGATCCCAGCAGCAACTGCTACTAAAAAACCTAAAGCTAAAAATCCTTGTTTTGTGGGAGCTTTCCCCACCCATTCAGGCTGCTTCTATTGTTCCAACTTTACAACAATCCAAGGCCTCCCAAGCTGTTTACTTTATGGACTTTCAATAGACACCTCGATACCTCTTCTTCAAAAACAAAGGATAAGATCCACCTCTTTAAAGTCCTAGTATCATTACAGTGTCCTATAAATAGGAGTAACAGTTAAGATTAATATTATTTCCTTAATAATGCAGAATAGTTTCTGCTTAGTAGAATTTAAAACAGTGCATCTTCTTTTTATCTCAATCATCTTTACAACAATGGATGACAAGAGATACAGGAAGAGGAGAGATAAGTGAGCACGAAAGAATCACAAAGTATGACTGATAGGGGAGAGGGGTAGAGCAGTAGAAAATATTGAAGATCGAAAGATAGGTGTGAGAGAGGACATAGAGCAAAGAGAGCTAGGAAAGAAGACAAAGTGAAAAGAAGACAGAGGATGATAGTTAAGAGACAAAGAAGTGATAGGAGGTGGAGGAATAGAGCAAATTAACTTCTGATGATGTGGAGTATCTATTCCCATATAAAAAATCTCAAATGTTTTCCAGGGGAACTGAGCAGAGCTGCAATAACTGGGGTTTTATTCAGATGGGACAATGACAAGTTTAAATCCCTACCTTATCTACTGCTCAGTCACCTCCATTTGTCTGGTCAGTTTATTAAGCTTCAGGATACTCATGCTTTCCAATATTTGGAGCAATTTGAATTGTAAACATTTCAGGTTCTATTTAAGATGGCTTCTGTCTCAAACCTTTGTTTACATTGACATCAGTGTATAGAAGTATTTATGCAAACATCTCTTTGTTCATAAAGGAAAGGGATTGCATGCCTTTACTTTTAAAATTTATTTCATTTTCATAATCCATAAATAAAATGACCAAACATGGAAAAAAAATCTGTTCTTTCTTGTATTTCCCAATTGTGTTTTTCCCTACAAAAACATTGCACACATGTAAGCTTTAAATTTTTCAGATGTTTTTATTGTAAGGGTGAGAATTGTTGGCAACTCAACTGGTGTCAGCTGGTTTCTCAGGTGACTTTGTCTCTCTCTCGGGAATGTTCTGGCCATGTAAGTACTTCTTTAAATTCATTACAGGATTTGGACATCCCTCACTCTGCCTTAATTTGTTGTTGAGTCACACTGATATATCCCTTGAAAAGTTGGTGGTGATTTACCTTCTTGACCAGCTGCCGTCTGCGGTGGTGTCAGTACACCCACAGTTCTGTGAGAAAGGGACTGTTACTGTGATAACTGTTGTTGGTGATCCATTGAATTTGTTGGCAGATGGATAATCTCTGGGACCGATGGTCATTCAATTCCTGACTCAGTAATGTGATCTGCCTCATCAGGTATCTGCAGTAAAGCAGCTTCTCCAGCTGCATGTCAGTGACTGCTGTTTTGACAACACATCTGATAGTTCCATTTCACCATGTATGATCACAGTGACAACATCTGGACACGGGTCTCAAGTTTGCATGTGGGCTGGCTTTTCTTGAATGCATTTAAAATCTGCACTCTCGCTCTACAACTCTCAGTTCTGGCAATGATATTTATGCTGGAGCACGTCGATTTTGATGATCCCTTTTGCAATTTTCACCACTTCCTCACCCTTTCCATTTGACTGGGGATAGTGTGGAGATGATGTGTGGTGCCAAGTTTTTCAATCAATGATGCAATGTCTTAATTCTTCACTTCTGAATTAAGGTGATTGTCACTAGTCACAATACCAGGAATGTCATGATGACCGAAGTGTGCTTTCAGACAGTCACTCACCTCAGTTTCTCTAACTCCCTGCTGCCTGAATAGTAGTCGACTGTGATGAGGTAATCAGTTTCAGTGATGGTGAAGCTTCATCCATGGGATGTCACAAGTCATGAGCAACTCTTTATCTTGTTTCGCTTGATGTTCATTACAAGCACTGCGCAAGATGATGTGGTCCTTCATCACATTGCTTATCTGGCCAAACATAAGCACTTTGTTTAGCTTCCTCAGACTAGACTCAATTCCTTGATGGTTTGTGTGGGATGTGCTTCAGCATCTCTTTTCTTGGGAGTGTGTTAATGATCCTGCTCCCTTTATACAAGATGCCATTTTGGGTGATCACTTCATCTCTGTCCAATGTTCTTATAGTAATAGATGTGTACTTGTTGGATTCAGTCCATTGTTTCATCACTGTAGTATTTAGAGAGTTGCTCCTCGTGCAGTTTGCTTGATCTGTCAGTCAGATGTCTCAGATTTGGTCCAAATCTTGGAGTCAGATTGGCAGTTTTTATGTGGTTTTTGTTGATGTTCCTGGAGACTGTGAGGCCTAATTACAGAAGTAACACCAATAGGATTTCTCCTGTCTATGTGTGAATTCATGGACAAGAAGATCAATTTAATGTGCAAGATCCACATCTCATATTTGAATAGTTTGTGTCCTGTGGTATCCTTTGGTGTGTCAGGAACATTGAAGACATTCCTAAAGCTTTATCACAAACCTCACACTTGAAAGGTTTACATTACTGTGTGGATTCTCTGATGCAGTAGGAGGTAGGATGATCTTGAGAATGATTTGCCACACACATCACACTTGAATGGTTTTTGCTGTGTGTGAATGTGTCGATGTACACGGAGGATTGATGATTGTGAGAATGATTTGTCACACACTTCACACGTAAATGGTTTCTCCCCAGTGTGAATGCGATGGTGTGTGCGGAAGTTTGTTAAATGTGAAAATGATTTGTCACATACCTCACACGTGAATGGTTTCTCCCCGGTGTGAATATGTTGATGTATGCGGAGTATTGATGATTGTGAGAATGATTTGTCACACACCTTGCACATGAATGGTTTCTCACCAGTGTGAATACGCTGATGTGTGTGTAAGTTCGTCAAATGTGAGAATGATTTGTCACACATCTTGCATTTGAATGGTTTTTCTCCAGTGTGAATGCGTTCATGGGCATGGAGGTTTGTTAAATGTGAGAATGCTTTATCACACACTTTGCATGTGAATGGTTTCTCTCCAGTGTGAATGTGTCGATGTGCGTGGAGGATTGATGACTGTGAGAATGATTTGTCACACACTTCGCATTTGAATGGTTTCTCTCCAGTGTGAACGCGTTGGTGTGTTTGGAGGTTTGTTAACTGTGAGAATGATTTTCCACATATCTCACATGTGAAGGGTTTCTCCCCAGTGTGAATGTGTCGGTGGACACGGAGGGTTGATGACTGCGAAAATGATTTGTGACACACCTCACATGTGAACGGTTTCTCCCCGGTATGAATGTGTCGGTGGACACGGAGGGTCGATGACTGCGAAAATGATTTGTCACACATCTCACATGTAAATGGTTTCTCTCCAGTGTGAATGTGTCGGTGTGCACGGAGGTTTGTTAATTGTGAGAATGATTTGTCACACACTTCGCATGTAAATGGTTTCTTCTGGGTGTGAAGTCTTTGGTGTTTACAGATGCCTGCTACATCTGGGAATGATTTGTCACATAGTTTACACACAAAGGGTTTCATGCCTGTGTGCATGCATTGGTGTACACATAGACTTGCTAAGTCTGAGAATAATTTGTCACACACCTCACACATGAATAGTTTCTCCTCTGTGTGACTGCATTGGTGTTTGTGGAGGACCAATGAGTCTGAGAATGATTTATCACACACCTCACATGTGAATAGTTTCTCCCCTACATGAATGTGTTGGTGTCTGCGGAAGGTCGATAAGTCTGAGAATGATTTATCACACACCTCACATGTAAATGGTTTCTCTCCAGTGTGAATACGTTGGTGTTTGCGGAGGGCCGATGAGTCTGAGAATGATTTGTCACACACCTCACATGTAAATGGTTTCTCCCCTGTGTGTATCCTCTCGTGCTTCAGGAGATCCGAGGATTGGATAAATGCTTTGCTACAAACCTTACACCTGAAGGGTTTCTCTCCTGTGTGAATCCTCTGGTGTCTCAGGAGGGTTGAAGAGGCCACAAAAGCTTTATCACAAACTTCACACTTGAATGGTTTCCCTTCCATGTGGCTGTCCCGGTGTGAACAGTTGTGCAACAAGCATATACAGCCCTGTCTCTCAGCTCACATGCAAGCAGCCTTTCACCTGTTGAGGAATGAGTCACTGGTCTATGCGGTTCAATGAATAAATGAAACTCTCACCGCACTCTGAGACACTCACACTTCTTCCCAGCTTCACCTTGACCAATCACCCATAGATGAACACTCAGAAAGACTGGTTCTGATGGAAGGCTCCGCACCACTGACGGGTTTCAGACCTGATGATAGGTCAAAGCTCCCCTGACCTGACTGATTTCCAGATGATGGTTTCACTGTTCAACCTTCTTTGTATCGAGCAATGCTGTGAACGGAAACGCTGTGAATGTGTTTCAACAATTGTTCCTTGGGTGATGTTTAGTGGTGTTGAGCATTTCTGTTTTCTTTTCTACACAGTGGAATCTTCTGTAAAATACAGAAAGGAATAATGAGTTTCTGCAAAACCCTCTCCCCGATTTCTGAAAGGGCTGATTCCTCAGTTAGAGACTGTTCCACCATGAGTGCCAGTCCGCTACTTGTGTCTGTGTGTATGTGAGTGTGTGTGTGTGTGTGTGTGTTGGTATGGGATAGGGAGCAGTGCTCAAATGCAAATCCTTTTTCCTCAGTTGATAGTCACACATCCTGTGTTTCCAGTAGGGATAACAAGGAGCAGATAATGTGACTACTTTCTTTCTTCCACCCAGACCCCCATGTTCCCAGACACCTTGAGGACAATGGGAAAGATAGTCAGCTGAAGTGTATAACAGGCTTTCAATTCACCATGGGCTTGTGTCATGCTGGTGAAGACCAGTCTTACCTTTAGATTATGCGTTTAATGTAAAAACACTTAGGAGAAGTGATCACTCAATCCAAATTGTCAACTTTCTCCCCTAACATCAACAATGCAGAGATTGAGAGTTAAAATCTTGCTGCCTTTATTTGAATTCATACCAAGCTCTGTTCATTCATCACCGTCCTAGTCACTGACCTATTCATTAATCCCAGTCTGACAGGAGATCATTTTAAAAGTCTCATCCTTTTCTTCAAATCCCTCCACCATGGTTTCAGTCCTCCCTATCTCTGTAATCTCCTTCAGCATCTCTGCACTCCTCCTTGTGGCCACTTAAGCATCTCCCATTTCAACATCCCACTAATTGGTGTCAGGAGCCACCATGAGTGCCATCATCTACTGAGACCCCGAACTCTGGATATCCTTCTTAACCTTCTCCATCTCATCCTCCTCCTTTTGTAAACCGACCTCATAGACCACGTCTTGGATAATGTCCTAATATCTCTGCCTGTGATTTGGTGTTAGTGTTTGGATAACGTTTGATGATTATAACAAGATCAGTGGAATTTTATGGAACTCACCCTCATGTTATATTGAAGCCAAGATTGTGTAATTTTTGGAGACCAGAGTTGCTCTTTCAGAGAGGATATCCATTTATATAGAAGTTTAGGTTTTTTGACCAAGACTTCTCTTCTAGATGAAAGCTGTCTGTTGTATCCTGGGATTAGTTTCTAGCTCATTGGGCCAGATTTTCTGGAGAGGGGTAATCTCATGCAGATTGTTGCTAAAATCCTTCTTTTGTTTCGAAAGAAGGGACCTCCATATTTCTAAGAGGACTGTCAGAGGGAGGCCCCCTTTCCACAGCAGTCAGCTGCAGTATTTTGAAATTTAAAGGTCCCAGCAGTCACTTTGACAGCAATGTTAAAGGTTAAGGATAGAAGGTAAGTGTCAGGAGATTTTGAGATGCAGTAGTAGTGTCCCTACCTGTAAACCTGGACGTTTGGGTTCAAGTTCTACCTGCTCCACAGATGTGGAGTAACATCTCTGAATAGGTTGATTTGAAACTATAAGGTTGGGGGAACGTTCAGGTGCTGGGAGTGTTAATGCCAGATAGACAGGGGTTTCAATTCCAGGTAAGAGGCTGCCAGGTGGTGAGGGGTCAACTGTGCTGGGTATTGGGTGCTGGGTTGCCCAATGGGATGGCAATAACATGCTAGCTGTGTAGAATGGCAGCTGGGGAGGGGTACGATGCAAACTAGGGAGGGGTAGGTGACCGCTGAAGTATTTTTATTCATTCATGGGACATGGACATTGCTGGCAGGACAATACTTGCTGCCTGTCCCAGTTGCCTTGAAGAAGGTGATACTGAGCTGTCTTCTTCAACCTTCAATGCCCTCTGGGAAGGATTTCCAGGGTTTTGACCCAGTGACACTAAAGGAATGGTGATATATTTCCAAGTCAGGATGTTGACTGGCTTGGAGGGCACCTTGCATAGAACATAGAACATTACAGTGCAGTACAGGCCCTTCGGCCCTCGATGTTGCGCCGACCTGTGAAACCAATCTGAAGCCCATCCAACTGTACTATTCCATTATCATCCATATGTTTATCCAATGACCATTTAAATGCCCTTAAAGTTGGCGAGTCTACTACTTTTGCAGGCAGGGCATTCCATGCCCTTACTACTCTCTGAGTAAAGAACCTACCTCTGACATCTGTCCTCTATCTATCACCCCTCAATTTAAAGCTATGTCCCCTTGTGCTAACCATCACCATCTGAGGAAAAAGGCTCCCACTATCCACCCTATCTAATCCTCTGATCATCTTGTATATCTCTATTAAGTCACCTCTTAACCTTCTTCTCTCTAACGAAAACAGCCTCAAGTCCCTCAGCCTTTCCTCATAAGACCTTGCAGGTGGTGATGTTTCCATGTATCTGCTATGCTTGTTTGGAAGGTGCTGTCTCAGGATCTTTGGTGAATTCTTAGAATCTCTACAGTGTGGAAACAGGCCCTTCGGCCCAACAAGTCCACACTGACCCTCAGAGCATCCCACCCAGACCCATCCCTGTGTAATCCACCTAATCTACACGTCCCTGAACGCTGTGGGCAATTTAGCATGGCAATCCACCTAGCCTGCACATCTTTGGACTGTGGGAGGAAACCGGAGCACCCGGAGGAAACCCATGCAGACACAGGGAGAATGTGCAAACTCCACACAGACAGTCGCCTGAGGATGGAATTGAACCCGGGCCCCTGGAGCTAAGAGACAGCAGCGCTAACCACTGAACTACCGTGCCATCCATTTCTGCAGTGCATTGTGTAGAGAATTCACATCATCATTGCCACTGAGCATTGGTGGTGGAGGGAGTGGATATGGTGTCAATCAAGTGGATTGTTTTATTCTGGATGGTGTAAGTTTCTGGAGTGTTGTTGGAGCTGCACCCATCCATGTCATTCCTGATTTGTGGATGGTGGACACACTTTGGTAGTGAAAATGTGAGTTACTCATTGTAATATTCGGAGCCTCTGACCTGCTCTTGTAGATGAGAAGGGGATGTGGTTAGCTTGCTTCTTATTGGAGATGGTCACTGCCTGGCATTTGTGTGGTGCAAATATTACTTGCCATTTTTCAGCCCAAGCTTGGAAAATGTCCAGACTTCTTTGCATTTGAACATGGACTGCTTCAGCATCTGAGGAGATAATCAATGATATTACCATCACTGAATCCCCCACTATCAACATCCTGGATTTTAGCAGAATATACATACAAGAGTGGGTGAGAAGTTCTGAATCTTACAATGAGTAACTCACCTTCCACTCCCTAAAGCTGAACGTGCATGAACCAAGTCAGGGGTCAGTTCAACAGATACACAGGGTTTAGGCTATATATTTATTTTAACTTTTCCTGCATAACTATTTTTCTGATTTTCATCAGAGCCATCCGAGGTCTCATATTTTTAAAGGAGATTTTTGGAGAATTCCCGCTACAGAGGAATTGCCCACAGAAGAAAAAACACAATTTCCAGGTAATTCCTGCAGAGTCTGTTCAGATGGAGATTCTGTAGGCCCCATTATTTTCCCAGAAGTGCACTCTCTGAGAATGAGAACCACTGCTTGGTAATATCAGGGAGGGGGACTGCAACTTAAAGGGACATCTTTCAGTGCTCCTTGACAAAGCTCAACCCAAGTACAGCTATTCCTATCCTGTTCTGCTCCATTTGAGGTTCCAACTCTATCTTCCTCTACACTGGGTCTATCTCCACACTGGGAGACTGTTTCATAGTTAGGATCAGTCAGATAGTGAGCAACGAGGGGAATCACGTTGAACATCTGCTCACTTTCTAGCATTTTACACACAAACATAGACAACAACTTGCATTTATAAAGCACCTTAAGCATTTTTTAGTGACCCAATGCGCACTGCAGGAGTGTTAACTAAATTTGGGAGTTTTCGATGCATAGACTTCCTGCGACGTTTCCTACAACAGCTAAGGAACCACTCCTTCAAAAGCGCTTCATTGTCTGCAAAACACTTTGGGACATCAGATAGTTATAGGAGATGTTGTAATAATGCCTGCCTTTTAGAAGATAGGCAACAACTAGATCCCAGCACACAGAAAGATCTGATCATTGACAGTACGGTGGGTAAGAACCAGCGCCCAACTTCCACACACAACTCAACAACAGGAAATCAGTACGAATCCTCAGACTCTGCACCTCCCAGATAATTACACCTCACCTTCTCAAATTCAGGAATGAGCCATCAACAAAACTCAGCCTGGAATCAGAAGGGAAATGCTTCCAATAAACACACTCAATATCCAACACACAGCTCCAGTCAAACAGTTCAGCACAAGGCACCGACTAACAGCTCCCTCAGTTGGATCTTTTCCAACAGCAAAAGGGACATTTCCACCCCTGATTGCCCACAGGATAGTCAGACTGCCTGAAGATTGGAGTGGATATTATCGAATACAATTTGTATAACAGCTGCTCCTTCACTCACCATCTCCTCACTTGGTTTTCAGTCCCTATAGGAAGTGAACCAGCTCTGGAAGAGGAAGAGGTTTGAATGGGCAGTGTGGGTGGGCTCTCTGATTGACGTCTCTCATAGCCAATCCAAATATTTCTGGAACAACGTAAAGTTTCGGATATCAGAAATTGTAAGAGGAGCTCAGCATCCCGTAGCATCTCTGAAGAGAAATAAGAGTTAACATTCGAGTGCAGCGATCCTTTGTCAGATCTGATAAGCTTCCTGAAGCTTGGGAAACTGACAGGTGAAAGGGAGATGACTTTGAGCAGCAGATAAGGTGAAGACTTAAACTTGCTATAGAACCATCTAAATAAACCTTGCTCATTGCAGCTGCTACCTCAGTTTCCCTGGTAATGTTAAACAGAGATTTCTCGTGAGGAAAGAGCATTCTTCGTCATCAGAGGTTTTCAAACTGACAACATCAGGTGTGGGATGTGTGGTCTCCATCTGTTGGAAAAATGTGTCCAGGTGCAGTGATTGGATCAGCACATGAACTGGAGGGAAGGGGACGAATTGTTCTCCATTAGTCAAAACGTACGCTTCGCAAAAAATGGTGCAAGATCTGCCAGTTATTTCACCAAAAATATCCTCTATGTCAGCGATTGGTTTTGTAATAAACATTGACCATATTTCATGACTAAACTCACATTGAAAATGGACATCTTTTCACTGCCCTGATTGGTTCACCTTTCAGTGTCCTGACTGGTTACACGGTCAGAACACTCTGATTGGATAGTCAGGAATTCCCGGGATGAACATGTGTGATGTCACTTTGAACACATTTTCGTGCACGCGGCAGTGTAATGGAAACATCAAAAAAAAATTCACTGCATTGGCCAAAGTGTATCAGTTCGGAAAATCAGCTCAGAGGAAAACAATCACTCTGAAAGAGTAGGGGAAATGTTTGTGAGAGAATCAGGGAGAAAGGAGATGGTGGGAAATTTTGGAAATCATACAGGTGACATGTAGTCATGGGAGACAGATAGCCGAATCACTGGAGGAAATATCTTCGAGTCTTCTGAGGTGATCTATAGGAATGATAAATTATCTCTACTGGAGTGGCACAGAGTGGGCAGCACTGCTGTCTCACAGCACCAGGGACCCGGGTTCAATTCCAGCCTCGAGTGACCGTCTGTTTGGAGTTTGCACATTCTCCCTGTGTCTGCATGGGTTTCCTCTGGGTGCTCTGGTTTCTTCCCTCAGTCCAAAGATATGCAGGTTAGCTAGATTTGCTGTGCTAGACTACCTAGAGAGTCTAGGAATGTTCAGATTAGGTGGATTAGCCATGGGAAATGCAGGAATAGAGTCGGGTGGGTGGGTCTGGGTGGAATGTTCTTCTGAGGATTGGTGTGGACTCGATGGTCCAAATGACCTACTTCCAAACTGTAGGGAATAATATGAAGTGCTCCCACATAAAACCTCATTACTTAGTTGACAGATCAGCAAAGATTAACTAACATTACCCTTGTATTAGCAAACTTCCAGAATTGATTCACAACAGACTCACCATCCCAAGAACTCTCAAGTATACATGTTCCTTAATTTTGAGGATGTTAACCTAAAAACAAAGTACAAAAATAATGACCCACATTGAAAATAACAGAATTTGAATAATACAAAATAATAGTTTTCCATGACATGTGTAAGAGTGAATGTGCTCTTCACAAGTCCGAGAAGTAAAATCCAGCATTGTGGTGTCCTCCTTCCTGCCATGCTCTGTACCTGGACACCAACCCAACCAGGGATACAGCTCTGAGTTCGCAGCTTGAAGCCCTCACCATGTTGCTGTAATTACTGAGAAAGTTGAAAGAATGCATTAACTATTGACAGATTGTTGGTTTTTAATGAGCCACTAATATGGGAAGTAATTTTTCTGGTGGGACAACAATAGACATTGGACACTGACTAGGTCTCTGTAAAAGCCATGCCCACAACTTCCACACTGCAGTGACAATTAGGACGGATTTCACGCAAAACAATCCAAAATTTGAAGCCCTTCCTCACAAAAATTTTCCTGTAATTTGTATTAAAATGTTTTATTCTTAGACAGTTATATCACTAAGAATTGATGCCAACATTTATCAGTTCTGTCCCAAAATCTTGTGAAAAGCCAACACCTGCAGCAATATCTCGGACATTACAGTAAAAACTCATATTTGGTTATTGTTGCGAAGTTGGGTACAGTACTTGTGTATTGGGAGGCAGGACATTAGAACTTGGTGTTTATAAAATATTGGTGTTTGTAAAATGTTAGGGGGAAGAAAGCATTGCATGGTCCCTTTAAAAGAGGATGTGCTTTTTTTCCATGCTTAGAGATAAAAAAAAGCCTGTGAGCAGCTTGAAAGTCTGCAAGTACAGAGAGCACCCAAATTGAAACGTTTGAATCAAAGGTCATACAGTTAACAGGCCAAGCAGCACTTTTGTTTTGTTACCAAGAAAAGTTTTGAATTTAGCCAATCAATTTGAGCCAGGCACTTCAATACCAAAAATCAATTAAATTTGAATCTGATGGTTCCGATAACAGAGGACCAATCCTAATGTAAGACATTGATATGTCATCAAGGGTATAAAAGAAGAAGACAGTTGGACACATGCAGGAGAACTAACTGCCATCTGCCAAAGCTAACAGCTTTCAGTTCTCAGGAGAATCGTTGGCTCTCATAGCTTCTCTAAGTCTTACAGAGAACACCATCTAAAAATCAAAGTTACCAATGGCATAACTAGTTAATATCCCTGACAGAGGAGGCATTCCTGACAACATTCAACAGGGAAGACACAGAACATTCTGGAAGACAGGTAATCTGGCTGTAATTTCGAGAGACTAAATTCTTTTTATAGTTTATTTTATTTAAGTGGGACTCATATTTATTGGAAGAGCATACTATTAGGATCTTGTTTTATTTGGAAAGAGTTAGTAGTTAGAAGGGATTTATTTGGTTTGTTAATAATTTGGTTAGTTTGTTCATTGTTACAGTTAGATAAATAAATTGTTACTTGTTGATTGTAAAGTGAGTGTCAGGGCTTTGTTTTATTTAACAACTAGAAGTTGCTGAAAGGCAAGTTACACCACTTTTCACATTCTTTCTACAGATTATAGGGCAAGGTGTTCCTCTTTGGGTATTTTGGTTTTAGTTTTTTTGGGAGAGATCAAACTCTGCTTTATAACAGTTATAAAATGAGAGATATTAAATTCAAGAAAAGAACTGGGAACAAGAATGAGCAATTTAGCCCCTTCAGTCTGCTCCACCATTTAAGATTGTCATGGCTGATCTTATAGTGACCTCAACTCTACTTTCCCGCTACCTTCCCTTAACACTTCAACCCAATATTATGTAAAAAAAAGTCTATGTCCTCATCATATTTACTCAATGTCCTGGCATCCACAACACTCAAGGATGATGAATTCCAGATTCATGACCCTTTGAGAGAGGTAATTTCTCCTCATCTCTATTTTAAATCTGCTATCCTTTCTCCTAAAACTATGATCTCTCCTTCTAGAAAGCCCCATATTAGGAAATATGCACTTTGTCAATAAAACCAAGAATAGCAGATGCTGGAGATCTGAAACAAAAACTCAAATTGTTGGAGAAACTCAGCAGACAGGTAGCATCTGTGGGAAGAAAGCAGAGTTAACGTTT